GTTTCGATCCTCTAACGGGGTATAAAAAGGGTTGAGCCAGAGAGCTCGGGGCTCAGTCTGAGAGTAGTTAAGAGAAGAGAGAAGACCAGCCAGATAGGCCCTGGACTCCCCCTGGGACGCCGCCCTTGTAAGGGCAGTGCAGGCTGGAGCCAGTGGCGTGGTCCCGGAACCAGAGTCAGACCTCTGGGATTCCGGGTACCGTAGCCCGACTAACCAGTGTCGGGCCAGACAGCCTCCCCTAGCCCGTTAGCGGAGGACTCAGCTAGGAAGGCTAGCTAGGGGTGAATTCCCAGTTGTACGGGTGAGGGGGCCGATACATCCCTCTAGTACTGTAAGCCCTTTGTGTAAATAAATACGTGTGCCTTACCCCGTTGTCCACGCGTCTTCAACGACACTTCACTAGGATCCCAGGCACCCCAGACAGTTAAGCCCCTTGGCGCCACCAACGGGGGGGGCTGTGTGTGCTCTGTGGGATATCTGGGGGCGCACACAACCCCACCCCTCGTTGGGGACGAGGCATAAAAAGGCAGCTCCCTGGCCGATCGGGGCCAATCGCAGCTCAAGACCATAGGACCCACCAGCCAGCCAGCTTAGGATCCTGGACCCCCTCGTCCCGCTTGTCCTTGTAAGGGCTGGGACGCTGTGAGGGCCAGTGGTGGGACTCTGGGACTCCCGGCTCTACGTCCTTGTAAGGGCGAGTTCCGAGGAAGCCAGAGTCCAGACCCGCACCTTGGCTGGGTCGGGTCAGGTGGCCTCCCCTAGGGTAATTGTAGCCGGAGGACCCCAGAGCGTAGCCAGAGTAGTGTATCTAGGCTGTGTACCTAGGCTGTGTACCTAGGCTGTAACAGAGTATCAGGACTGTTGGAGTGTTGTATTGTAATAAAGAAGTTACCTCTACAAGTGTTTCCGGAACCCATTACACTTTGACTAGCAGCAAGTACCCGGCGTTGCCCGGGCGAAAAAGGCCGACACACACATGGACTTGCACAGACATCGACCCACACACAAACACATCAACTTACACCAGGCATGTCCAAAGTCCGGTTCGCGGGCCAATCACAGCCCATGGTCAGATTTCTTACGGCCCGCAAGCTTCGGTCTTATAATGTGTTATTTATGGCTCGCTAGCTCTGTCAGAATAACTACATCATAAAACTTTAAAGATATAATTCCTCCTTTCACCACACGGTGGCAGCACCATTCTAATGCTATCTGGCTCTGCATCCGTGCCGCGAACCCTTCTCGAATCATTTTTACGGTGACGTAATATATCACAACAATGTGAGGTGGCTAAGTCGGGGGTCTGCACTGCAGCGATTTTTCTCTCTCAAAGAGGAAATTGGACATTTTTGGGTGAGAAGGGACAACCAATGGAAGAACTGTCCGATCCTGTATGGCTGGCAAATCTGGCTTTTTTGGTTGGCATAACGAAGCATCTGAATCTTCAAGGAAAAGATGCAGTGGTGAGCCAGCTATATGCTCACATCAAAGCCTTTTGAACCAAACTGCAACTTTTCCAAAGACACTTGTCCCAAACAGAGCCCTGCACTGCGCACTTCCCATCTTTGAGAGAGGTCATTGACAGTTTCTCACAGGACAACATCGGTGCGCAAATGAAGAGTTATGCAACAGCTATCGCATTTCTTTCTGTGGAATTTAACAAACGCTTTCGGGACTTTGCAGTTATTGAAAAGGACATGTAGCTTTTCTCTTGTCGCTTCTCGGTGGACCCTGATGATGCTCCTCCACAGCTGCAGCTGGAGCTCATTGAGCTGCAGTGTGACGATGAGTGCCGCGGAAAACACCAGCAGTGTTCTCTTGTTGACTTTTAAGGCAACTGGACAAAAGCAGGTTTCTAGAAATGCGGTCATTTGCTAAGAAAATGCTGAGCTTATTTGGCTCAACATATTTGTGTGAGCAAATATTCTCAGTCATGAACTTAAACAAGAACCAATTGAGGCCAAGGATGAGTGACTCCCACTTGCGTGACATTTTACGCATCTCAACCACTGCCCTCAAGCCAGACCTGGTCTCTTTACCGAAATCTAGATCTCAGTATCACCCTTCTCATTAGTGTCAGCAAGTTATCTGTTCCTTGATCAATCTGAAATTTAGTGTTTTAAACGGTAACATCTGTCACTATTAACAGTGAAAAGCCTAAAGCACACTAATGCACTTGGACTTATGGCACTTGTTTTTATTAAACTCTTGAATAAGATTTGGTTATAACTGTTGATGTTATGTACCTGCAGATGTGACACAAACTATTGCTTTCTGAAAGATCTTGTAAAAGACAAGGGCAAAATTCACTTGTTTTAAAGTTTAATGATAACAGACCACTTTGCATTACTTTTAACTCCTGTTTAAAATGTTCATGAGGCAAATATATTTAACTCATGGAAATTTAAGGTATTCTATACAGTTTGTTCAATGTTATCTGACTGAATGAAAGGCAGAATTGCGTTTTTAGAGTTGTTCACGTCTGCCTGAGTGGCTTATATTTGGTTACATTGTCATTTGAAAAATAAAGGTGATTGTGACAATGAAAATTGTTTTATAACAGTGTGTATTTTCATGTAACTTTTGTGGTTAAAAAAATGTCAGAAGGAACTATTGGCCCCGGGCATCTTCACTTCATCAAATTTGGCCCTCTTTGCAAAAAGTTTGGACACCCCTGACTTACACACACACATGGACTCGCACAGACATCGACTTTACATTTGTGTGTCTAGACACACAAATGGACGCACACGCATCGACTCACACATACATAGACTAAACAACAACCGCCATTCGCCACTAAGTGGCGGTGACGTAACCACAACGCTTGTGGCAGGCTATGTGCACCTTGAGGCCACGTGAAGTGTCGAACGCCTGCTGGCAGGAGGTCACGGGGCAGAGCCAGATGCCACAGGTCGACCGACTGAGACGACTGGCTGATGCAGCACCTGTGGCCCCTACTGTGGCAACTTTCTGTGCTTTAGCCACCCGGCGCTCCGCTCGTTGTTGTGAGCGTCGCTCCTCTGCCCTCCGTTGTTGTTGGAGGGTGACTGCCTCCAACTGGCCAGTAGCGTCTTTCAGGAGCCTCCTCCACAGTGGCCGATCTTGACACGGCTGGTACCAGTCATCCGCAAGTGGACTCAGCTCCAAGTCTTCCTGTAGCACATAACTCCCATGACTTCTCCAGCCCGGTGCTTTAGCCACCCGGCGCTCCTCCCGTTGTGAGCGTCGCGTGCAGCGTCCGATGGTACATAGACTCACACACACATTGATCGACACAAACACACATGGATTTACAAAGACATATCGACTAAGACACACAAACAGGGACTTACACATACACATGGACCAACGCACACACATCGACTTACAGACATACATCGACTCACACACACATACATAGACTGACACACACAAAGGAACTTGCACACACATATCGACGCACACACACATGGACTCTCACATACACAGATTGCCGTACACACATCGACTGACACAAATAGACTCCCACACAAACATACATGTACTCACACACGCACATAGAGGCACACACACACATGGACTGACACACACACACGTACGTACAGACACAGATACATGGACTCACACGCACACGTGGACCAAAACACACACACAGAAAGAAATGGACTCACACTGACTCACAAGGAGCGACGCACATACAGTGGCTAACACACACGCACACCGACTGACACAAACACACAGACATATCGACTCACACACACAAACACATCGACTCTGACACACAGACTCACACACACACATTGACTAACACACACACATGGACTTATCCACACACACATCGACGGTATGTACTATCACTACAGCAGTGCGCACGGACAGTGGTGGTACCTGCTTAAACTACAGCAGTGCAAACCGATTGTGGTGGTTCGTGGTATCACTACAACAGTGACTAGTGAGTGTGGTGTAACTTGCTATTAATACAGCAGTGGACCTATGTTTACAGCAGTGCATACTGTGGTGGTACCTGCTATAAGTACAGCAGTGCATACTGACTGTGGTGGTAGCTGTTATGATAACAGCAGTGCATATTGTGGTGGTACATGGTTTAACAACAGCAGTGCATACTGAATGTGCTGGTACCTGCTATGTTTACAGCAGTGCATATTGTGGTGGTACCTGCTATGATGACAGCAGTGCATATTAACTGTGGTGGTAGCTGGTATGATTACAGCAGTGCATACAGTGGTGGTACCTGCTTTAGCTACTGCAGTGCATAGTGACTGTGGTGGGCCCTGCTATGATTACAGCAGTGCAAAGTGTGGTGGTACCTGCTAGCACTACAGTAGTACATGCTGACCGTATAGCAGTATATATGGAATGTCTAGTACAAAGTAGTAAGCAGACAGAGTGACATAAGCGGGGTCGTAGCTGGAGTCAAGGGTCGAGAGAGGGTGGAACGGGGGGAGCCAGGGGCAAGAGGGTAGGACTAGGGGATATAGCGCAGCGCCAGGGCTGGACGCGGCTGTGATCCTCGGTCGGCCGCGTTGGCTGGTCCCACGGCCGGCGCAGAGGAGACGGCACGGGGCAGCCGGCTGTGTCGGGACCCAGTGGGACCGAGCCCGGGACCCCTGACCCCTGGGAAGTGGTTCACCCCCCCCCCGCCCCGTGTGTTGTGTAGCCCTTCATAAACTGACGGCGAAAGCCCTTAACCTCACCTCCGTCTCTGAGCGAGTCGTCGCCAACCCTTCTACACCTGCGTAGCACTATTGTATGGGTCACGTACACTCACCTCTAGTGGCGCCCTCAGTGTGTCGGGGGCGCAGAAGAGCCAAGGGGGGGGCTGTTGAGTGGCAGGTGTGCGACCCACGGCTACAATAACCGTTGACCCGAGGGGAGGGGGCCAGAGGGAGGGGGCTGGGTGGGGCAAAGGTCAGACCCTCTCGAGAGAAGGCGGGTGGGAGAGAGGCGTACAGTATATAAAGGGCAGCAGCTCTCCCAGCGGTCAGTCCGCACTCACCTCGAGGCCTGAAGACATCGAGACAGCGCCCTGGGACTTCCGACCCCCGTCCCTTGTCAGGGCCAGGTCCGAACGGCCCAGTGGCGGCACCCGTTACCCTGGCAAGGTCGGGTGAGCAGAGCCTCCCCTAGGTCCCTTAGCGGAGGAATTCCCGATAGCAGAATATAGTGTGAGGGCACACTAAGTGTGAGGACGTATCCTCTAGTCTAGGCTATCGGGTGGGAGAGGCCGTTACCTCTCCGTGTTAGGGACGCTCTTAGTCGTTACAAAGGGAAGTCTCTGCCGACTTAGTCAGCACTACACATGTGTAAGGCGAATGGAAATTTACGGCGATCGTGTGTGCGTTGCTAGGGGCAACCCATGTACGCAGTGCAAAGTGTAATGAGATAAATGCTTATAAGACAAATGTGTGGGACTTACGTCTTATCTAAAAGCATATAATACGAAAGTGTGCGACTTACCGTGGGCGATGGCGCGTGTGGATTGCTGCTGGGGGCGACCTCGTGGGCGCTGTGCGCACGTGCGGCTGGCTGCGTTGTGACTCAGCACGCGTCGAAGGGAAATAAATATTAGTAAAACAAACTAAAGCTTTTAATAAATATCTCCAAAAAACGCTAATTAAAGTAATTTAAAGTTGAGGGACGTGAAAAGGGAATAGCCTATTCCCACCGCGATGCTTGGGGTGTGCTGGCTGGCAAAATATTTTGGACATAAAGGCCACTGTTGGAGAGGCAAATCCCTCGCAATATTTGCGCGCGCAGACTTTTATATATAAAAAAGAAAGATAAGAGACTGTCGCGGGCAAGTGCTGTTAGCGAGCACCTATGAAGGCCGGCACGGCACACGAGGGGGTGGGTGACAGCACCACGCCCGGCCGCCTTTGTCCCCCCAGTGGCGATGTTCACACAGCACCCGAGTTATTCGTTTGAGGCTGAGTCGACCTCGGGGAGGCCCAAGACCGGTTAAAATAATCGTCACTGGTGGTGGCCGTGAGCAGGAATCAAACTCGGGTCGCAGGATTCGTAGCGCAGCGCACTAACCACTACACTACCGCTCCCCACACACACAAACACACACACACATAGACACACACACATAGACACACACACACATAGACACACACACATAGACACACACACACATATACACACACACAGCGCGCTAACCACTACACTACCGCTCCCCACACACACAGACACACACACATAGACACACACACACATAGACACACAGCGCGCTAACCACTACACTACGTTACGCTTCTACATGCGCGGGTCACATGACAGATTTGACGTCACAGCTCACTTGCTGTGCAAAAAATATATGCATTATTGAGCCCCCCTCCCCCCCCCCAAAAAAAATCTAAAGTGCATTATTTTTATTTTTGAATGGTGTACAGTCTGGAAAGTACCCACATGGCAAATTTAAAGTTTGTTGCATGTCGGGAAGTACGCTAAACATTTTAAACAGACACACATAATCACAACTTAGCCTGTTATAGAAATGGAGATTAGCGCATCGTGTCGAGCTCGTCGAGAGGAATATATTGCCGTATCGTTCGCCTTCAACAGACACGAAATGACGTCGCAACGCAGTTTATGGGACACGCCATAATGTTCATTTTAGGTGAATTATTATATTTATTGAAAACGTTTTCCTAGCGAAGGCAGGCTTTATGAACTAGTGATATAAAACCCTTTGCCAAGCTAAACATCAATCCGGGCTCTGTTTGTTCTTTCCTCAGCGACGCGGGGGCAACACAAGTCTTGCCGCCTAGTGACGGCATCCCAGCGCCTCATGGGAGACGCGTGCCAACTCCACCAATGACGATCACGCTGCCCTCAATTATGGTCGTTCGGAGTTCTAATAGCAACGTGTTCTTATCGTTTAACACAGTTTGACGCAGTCCACATTGTCATCAATTATCCGTTTTAATAATCTCAGTTCATGTCACCTGCTCTGATATACAGTGGCAAAATGTTGGTCAATCTACTGCTGTCAAAACACAGTGATTAAATACCTCTGGTGTACCTGTTTACAATGCTGGGTGGTCATTGGTTCAACTGCCGCTCGGAGAGATCGAACCCGAAGACCTCTGCATTACTCATCCAGTGAGCAAACTTTGACACCACTGCAGATCCACGTACATGTGTACATATCAGTCAAATCTTGCAGTGAAACGCGGGTATCTCATTTGCGTACAATAATTACAGCACGGGTTGTGGTGTCGGATGCTCGTGACGATGTAGATTTAATTTAATTCGTCCCCGTGCAAACTCCTCCACTCCCTCCATCAAGCGCCCGCTTGATGACAATGTCGGGGCCGCTTGGCACGTGCCTCCCAGTCCATTGTCTGTTGATGTTGTTGCTGCTGTGCTCTGGCATCACGGACTTCCCTTGTAAATTAGCCGGAAAACAAGATAAGCAGGACCAATCAAAAAAATTATCACTCAATCGCACAATGAGAGCGAGCAGGTGTGAGAGGTGACGTCACTGGCCACCCTGCATAAAAGCCGCAGCGGGAGGGGGCAACAGTCGTCGTTGAAGCCGCGGACGTCTTTTTCAGGTATTGTGATGGCTGTCTGAGTTGGGCAAGATGCCTTGTGTAGTGGGGATCTCTGCAACGCGCGGGTTTTACCTGGGTTCGATGAGAGCTGTGTGCAGCGCTGGCCGAGGTTTAGACCAGAAATTATGTTTGGCACAAAGCTGGGGTGCTACGTGATGTTCGGTCGTTTTGTGGTTCATCACATTCTGGGGCGTAGAGTGAGGTGCCGTTTGCATTGCCTTCACGTGATTGAAGACTGTCTCGTGTTCTCGCAGATTTCTCTTGCGTACTGACTCGACCGTGCATCTCTTGTGAAGATGAGCGACCTCCATGCAGCCACCCTGAAGCTCCTGTCCACCTTTAATGAACTCGCCCGCGACAGTGCTGTGAAAGATTGTCTGAAGAAGGAAACCTTCAGGAACTTCCTGAAGGGGGATAAGGGCAAGAGTCTGATCCAGGTGATGTGGTTTTGCTATTCGTATGGACCAGCTTCTCGGTTGTATCCTTTGTATCCTTTGAGCTTGTACTCTCTCCATTCTTCTGTAATAATAAAGATTTCTGGTTTGGATCATGTAAATATAAACGTCCATTAAACTCGACGACCAATTGGTAGGGTTGTCACAAACTGTGCTGATTAGTTGCTACTTTAGCACACCGGTGTGTTGGAGACTTCACAACTTGTACTAATGAGTACGCCATTTATCTGATTTTACAATCGGCTTCATGAGGCGATGGCCAGAATTGTGCAGTGGCGTTTGACTGTGGGCCTAATTGGGGGTGAATTGACGGGTAGGAGGTTCATGTCGTCTTGTATGTTCGAATGGTCCCTTAATTCTGAGACTGCAGTGCGTATTTTGGTGGTTGGCTTATTCAGTTTACCAACATGATTGAATAACCTCCATTTGGCACGTAATTATACCATGTATCACTTGCTGTAGATTTTGCCCGTCTTCTGCGGTCCAGTCCTTTCTAACCCTAGCTGTTGTGATTCCATTCAGAATCCCGTGGATGGGTTCGTGGTGAGCCGCATCCTGAGGGACCTTGGTGATGACAAAGATGGGCAAGTCGACTTCCTCGAGTTCGTGATCACGATCGCCGCCTTGAAGTTCTGCTGCCACCCGAACTTCCGAGCGCACCACGAGCGGAATGGCAGGATCCACGCTGTGTCTGCATTCCAAGTGTAACGCGGCTGTTGCATGATACGAATAATATGAAATAAACCGTGTGATAACATCAACGTGGCGTGCTTGTGACCTTGATACTCTAGGTCAGGGGTCGGCAACCTACGGGTCCGGAGCCGCATGCGGCTCTTTACGGGCTGCTTCTTGACGGTATGTGCTCAGATGCGTTGCGGCTCTTGAAATACTGAATTTTGTACCGAATTGGAAAGAAATGGCTCTTGTTATTTTGGTTGCCGACCCCTGCTCTAGGTATAAAAACACGCGCAGTGGTTATCCATGCACGGTCCTTTTGAAATGTCCAGGATGAGTAGTGATATGTAGTGTGCCAAGACTCTTTTCCTGCTTGCAGTTCTGGTTTCATAACTGGAAAGATTAATATAGCTGTGCAGCACTACATACCGTAGGCTAGGCTTCACTATTAATTTTCATACCTTCGTTAACACTCCCTGCGCATTTGTGTGGGATGGAACTTTTGATTAGCACGTTATCTGGATTGCTCATTTACGTATACTTATTACAGCAGGAGTTGTCGGCTGCGAGTGACGATGTAAATTTAATTCGTCCCCATGCAAACTCCTCCCCTCCAAGCGCCCGCTTTAACAATGCTTGGCACGCGCCTCCCAGTTCATTGTCTGTTGCTGTGCTCTGGCATCACGGACTTCCCTTGTAAATTAGCTGGGAAACTGCATAAACGGGACAAATCGCACCGTGAGAGCGAGCAGGTGTGAGTGGTGATGTCACTGGCCGAGCTTCATTAAAGCCGCAAAGGGGGGGAGGAGGCAGCAGTCGTCGAAGCTGCAGACGTGGTGTTGCAGGTGCTTTCGCTTCTTACTATAGATATCCGTGGAGAGGCAGGAACCCTGGCTGTCGGGCCAGGGGTTGCCTTGCCAACCTCGAGTGGTTTTGGAGACCTGCCGTGACGAGCGAAGAAGACCAGTTCATGTCGACAGCTGCGGAGGTGGGAACTGCCGCCACTCGACCAACTGGAGGACTGGGGTCCGTTAAGGAGAGCGATGTGGCGCAGGCGTCAACCTCGAGTTCGTGATCACGATCGCGGCCTTGAAATTCTGCTGCCACCCGAACTTCCAAGCTGAATGGCAGGACCCACGTGCTGTGCGCATTCCAAGTGTAACGCGTCTGTTGCGCATGATACTAATACTATGAAATAAACCATGCAATCGCATTGGCGTGCTTGTGAACTTGCTACACTAGGTATAGAAACACGTGCAGTGGTTATCCATGCACTATCCTTTGAAATGTCCAGGATGAGTAGCGATATGGAACGTGCCAGGAATCCTTTTCCTGTTTGCAGTTCTGTGGTTTCATAATTGGAAGGATTTAATACAGCCGAGACGGCACTACGCGACGTAGGATAGGCTGCACTATTCATTTTCATACCTCTGTTTATACTCCCTGCGTATTTGCGTGGGATGAAACTTTTGATTATCAAGTGATCTGGATTTTTTGCACATTCTTTCCCAGCCTGTCGCTATGTTAAGTGATAGATGTGGTGTTGATATTGGTAATACAAGTATTACCAAGATGGTTATCTATTTGTAACCCCCCCCCCCCCCCGCCCACATTACCGTACTCAAAGCCACATTCCCACAACTGCACAATAACTGCAACACTATAGAGACAACACACCAAGGTGTGCTAACGAATGTGGTCGGAATATATCTGAAACGTGGGGGTGGGGTGGTTGCATTAGATTGGTTGCACTTCACGGTTTTGGCACATTTGACGTAAAAAAAGTAAGTTTTGCGTCTTAGATGTTTCGGTTTACCCCAAAAAGTCCTGTTTGGTGTTAAGCATGTTTCCCTCAAACATGTGAAGTGTAATGCGAGCAAGGATTGAGGGGGGCGGAGTCTGGGTCACGTGAGGAGAGGGAGGAGTTAGGGAGAGAACCGGAAGGGATCGGGGAGTTAAGACGGAGTGAAAACGGGAGGAGGCCACGCTGGGCAGTATTGGGAGGGTGGCGCGATCGCCACGTGTTGGGAGACCTCGGCACCGTCGGCCATCGGTGTCCGGGTGCAGGGGGGCTAGCGGGCTGTGGAAGGCTGGCCGTGAGCGAGGAGGAGCGGAGCAGCAGGGTGGCTGCAGGGCGGAGCAGCAGTGTGGCTGCGGAGTGCTCGACGGAGGAGACGCGGGCCTGAGCGAGGACGCCGTGGAAGCGAGATTTACACGAACCCAAATAAAGGACAACGGAGATCGACACTGTGGAAGAGTCCTTTATTACAAAAGTATGAAATCCGTAAAGTGATGAACACATGCGAATTGTTTATAGATGACCTCCAAAACATGGTGCCTGGCCTTCACTTTATTGTGTGAATGTGGGCAGAAAACGGATGTCTGCTTTATTCAAACCGAATTCCTTTCATCCCGCAGGACAACACTTTACCTTACATTTCTTTTTTATTCTTGAGCGATAGTTTCACGTGGTGTAACGCTCTAAAAAAACGAATTGCAAGGAAGGAAAATTTGTCAAAATTATTTGAACCTCATGGCAGCCATAATAAACAGAAATCAAAATCGCTATTAAAATGATTTTTGGCGACTCCGTCCCACCGCGCCCATAAACGCCGCGACCCACCTGGTGCGGATCATTCTGTTGTCGTCCAAGCGCAGCGAGGGCGAATGCGTAGGAGAAACACAACTTTTATACTTTTGTAATAAATCAGCTCGACAATCGACTCTATTTGTTCTCATGCGTGAGCTGGTGTCCCGCGTGCGCGCGCCACTCTCTCTCGCTCCCGCGCACCGCTGGCAGACGGCGCGCTGGGAGCCCGTCTCCGCACCGCCACGTGGCCGATGGCTCGCGGAGACCCGAGACGTGGCACCGCTTCCAGACCTTACTCACTGACCCTGAGTCCCTTTCGGCTTTCCCTTATAACACCTTCCCGCGTCACCCAGACCCCGCCTCTCGCCACATTCCCTCACGAACTCTCTAGAATCTAGATGGTACCTCATAAGCACCCTCGGGCTCCGCCCTTGAACTTTAACCCCAATAGTTCCTGTTACCCGATTGGCTTAAAGGCTGAGGCGGCGTGAAAAGGGAATAGCCTATTCCCACCGAGGAGCTTAGGGCGTGCTGGCTGGCAAAAATCTTACGTCCGTAAAGGTCACCGTTGGAGAGGCAAATCCCTCGCAAGAACACGCGGAGACTTTTATAGATAAGAGAAAGAGAAGAAACTGGAGGGGGCAAGTATTATTAGCGAGCACCTATGAAGGCCGGCACGGAACACGAGGGGGTGGGTGACAGCACCACGCCTGGCTGCCTTTGTCTCCCCAGTGGCGATGTTCACACACCACAGCAGTTGCTCGTTTGAGGCTGAGTCGACCTAGGGGAGGCCTAGGAGTGGTTGAAATAATCGTCACCGGTGGTGGCCGTGATTTAGAATTGAACTCGGTCGCCAAGTTCGTAGTGCAACGCGCTAACCGCGACACGACAATGCGTTACGCTTCCACATGCGCGGGTCACATGACAGATGTGACGTCACAGCTCACTTGCTGTGCAAAATATGTGCATTATTGCGCCCCCCCACCGCCCCAAAAAAAAGTATTTTTATAATTTTTGCATGGTGTACAATCTGGAAAGTACCCACATGGCAAATTTCAAGTTTGTTGTATGTCGGGAAGTACGATAAACATTTTGAACAGACACACATAATCACAACTTCGCCTTTTATAGAAATGGAGATTAGCGAATCGTGTCGAGCTCGTCGAGAGGAATAGATTGCCGTATCGTTCGCCTTCAACAGTCACGAAATGACGTCGCAACACAATTTATGGGACACGCCATGATGTTCAGTTGAGGTAATTATTATATTTATTGAAAACGTTTTCAAAGCGAAGGCAGGCTGAATGAACTAGTGATATAAAACCCTTCGCCAAGCTAAATATCAATCCGAGCTCTGTTTGTTCTTTCCTCAGCCACGCGGGGGCAACACGAGTCTTGCCGCCTGTGACATCCCAGCGCCTCATGGGAGACGCGTGCCAACTCCACCAATGACGATCACGCTGCCCTCAATTATGGTCGTTCGTAGTTCTAATAGCAACGTGTTCTTATCGTTTAACACAGTTTGACCCAGTCCACATTGTCATCAATTATCCGTTTTAATAATCTCAGTTCATGTCACCTGCTCTGCTATACAGGAGGTGGCAAAATGTTGGCCAATCTACTGCTGTCAAAACATAGTGATTAAATACCTGTGGTGTACCTGTTTACAATGCTGGGTGGGCATTGGTTCAACTGCCGCTTGGAGAGATCGAACCCGAAGACCTTTGCATTACTCATCCAGTGAGCAAACCTTGACACCACTGCAGATCCACGTACATGTGTACATATCAGTCAAATCTTGCAGTGAAAACGCGGGTATCTCATTTGCGTACAATTATTACAGCAGGGGTTGTGGTGTCGGATGCTCGTGACGATGTAGATTTAATTGAATTCGTCCCCGTGCAAACTCCTCCACTCCCTCCATCAAGCGCCCGCTTGATGACAATGTCGGGGCCGCTTGGCACGTGCCTCCCAGTCCATTGTCTGTTGATGTTGTTGCTGCTGTGCTCTGGCATCACGGACTTCCCTTGTAAATTAGCCGGAAAACAAGATAAGCAGGACCAATCAAAAAAATTATCACTCAATCGCACAATGAGAGCGAGCAGGTGTGAGTGGTGACGTCACTGGCCACCCTGCATAAAAGCCGCAGCGGGAGGGGGCAACAGTCGTCGTTGAAGCTGCGGACGTCTTTTTCAGGTATTGCGATGGCTGTCTGAGTTGGGCAAGATGCCTTGTGTAGTGGGGATTTCTCCAACGCGCGGGTTTTACCTGGGTTCGATGAGAGCTGTGTGCAGCGCTGGCCGAGGTTTAGACCAGAAATTATGTTTGGCACAAAGCTGGGGTGCTACGTGATGTTCGGTCGTTTTGTGGTTCATCACATTCTGGGGCGTAGTGAGGTGCCGTTTGCATTGCCTTCACGTGATTGAAGACTGTTTCGTGTTCTCGCAGATTCCTCTTGCGTACTTACTCGACCGTGCATCTCTTGTGAAGATGAGCGACCTCCATGCAGCCACCCTGAAGCTCCTGTCCACCTTCAATGAACTCGCCCGCGACAGTGCTGTGAAAGATTGTCTGAAGAAGGAAACGTTCAGGAGCTTCCTGAAGGGGGATAAGGGCAAGAGTCTGATCCAGGTGGGATGTGGTTTTGCTATTCGTATGGACCAGCTTCTCGGTTCATCCCATTTTTTTGAGTCTCCGGTTGTATCCCTCTCTCCATTCTTCTGTAATAATAAAGATTTCTGGTTTGGATCACGTAAATATAAACGTCCATTAAACTCGACGACCAATTGGTAGGGTTGTCACATAAACTGTGCTGATTAGTTGCTACTTTAGCACACCGGTGTGTTGGAGACTTCACAACTTGTACTATTGAGTACGCCATTTAGCCGATTTTTACATTCGGCTTCATGAGGCGATGGCCAGACTTGTGCAGTGGTGTTTCGGTCTTAAAGAGATGGCGTTTGACTGTGGGCCTAATCGGGGGTGAATTAAAGGGTAGGAGGTTCATGTCGTCTTGTATGTTCGAATGGACCCTTAATTCTGAGGCTGCAGTGTGTATTTTGGTGGTTGGCTTATTCAGTTTATCAACATGATTAAATGACCTCCATTTTGGCACGTAATTATACCATGTATCACTTGCTGTAGATTTTGCCCGTCTTCTGCGGTCCAGTCCTTTCTAACCCTAGCTGTTGTGATTCCATTCAGAATCCCGTGGATGGGTTCGTGGTGAGCCGCATCCTGAGGGACCTTGGTGATGACAAAGATGGGGAAGTCGACTTCCTCGAGTTCGTGATCACGATCACCGCCTTGAAATTCTGCTGCCACCCGAACTTCCGAGCGCACCACGAGCGGACTGGCAGGATCCACGCTGTGTCTGCATTCCAAGTGTAACGCGCCTGTTGCATGATACGAATACTATGAAATAAACCGTGTGATCACATCAACGTGGCGTGCTTGTGAACTTGATACTCTAGGTATAGAAACACGCGCAGTGGTTATCCAAGCACTGTCCTTTTGAAATGTCCAGGATGAGTAGCGA